GGGTTCGACACATACAGGTTCAAAAAACACACACATCTTTCGACCTGTGTGTCGAAAATGGATGGCGGCCTTTAAAAAAAAAAACTTTAAAAATTGACGTTTTAAGCTCACAAAAGACATAGATATATATATATCTTAATGGGTTCTTCTTACTCGTAAACTACCATTTAATTTAGGGTTTGAGGAGAATTTGTAATGTATTTATGGTTTTAATTTTTATTAAGAGAATTTATGGCATTAACTATTTGTTATCTAACTTTTATTTTGATAGCATGAAAGCAAGAAAATTTGATACTTGTTCTAACCACCCCCAATTAATTAAATGAAATGCTTTTTACGATTTGAAAATTGCTATTTACGGTTTATAACAAAAAACACTTTGCCAATGTTTGGAAACGTTTCGGAATCTTATTTGGATTTCATTTTGAGGAAATATGTTTTGGGGGAATAATTTGAGAATGAAAGTAATGTTTGTTTGTATTTTGGAAGGAGATAAAATACACTATAACAGTCAAATCATGTTTAAAGGTGTTAGAAAAAAGTATTTTTGAAGAAAAAAATTGAAAGATAAAGTGATGTTTATTTGTTTTTTAGTGAAGACATTTTTTACTGTAGCAGTCAAATTATTTTACTGTAGCAGTCACATCATGTCTGAAGGAGAGAGAAACTTTTGAAATTGTTTTGAGAAAATAATTTGAAAAATGTAATGAATCCCATTTTGTTTTGGGGAAACAATGAAAACAAAACAAAAATGCATCCAAACATAGCCTTACATTTTCTCCATATTTTTGTCTCAATTAATCATCAGAAGATTTTCGCCGGAACCAAGCTCGACGCCCTAACATTATTTTGTTGACAGCTGACCGCATCATAACATAATCTCTACTAATAGAATAGAAGTTTAGGGTTAAAATATGGAGTTGATTATAGTCCAATTTTAGATGGCCACTTTCCTAATTTATAATATAATTTGAATTTAAAAAAATAAAAATATTATGTTAGTTGACACAGCTAATCAATATTCCCGCCAATGGAGTAATTTTCAATTTTTGGCAAGTTGTCAACATTAAATAGTGATAAACATGTCGGTAAATAAACAAAGTTGATAAGTCGTGTCAGCCTAATCAAATACTAAGTGTTAGAAAGCGAATTGTGAACTATATAATTAAGCACTTTAGAGATAGATAAAATAAGATACTTTAGACTTGCATGTTTAAAACGGGGGTTAGGTATACAAAGTGAGATTTCAACAATAATAAATTCTTTGTTGTTGAATATTGATGAATTGAACATAAATTAATTAATTAAGCATGCCTTAGAAAAGGGTAAATTACAACTGGAAGGACAAATTACGAAAAAAAACCCGTCACATTCAGCATGAATTTTCTTTCATGTTCATTCTTATGGTGTCACATTCAGCATAATTTTCTATATTTTGTGAAATGTTCTCTAATTTGTACTCGTTTTGAGCAAAAATGCAGTTTTTGATCCAACACAATCTGATATCTACAAGCCAAGAGATACATCTTATGACCATCTTGTTTCAAAATGAGGAACTCGAATGAGGTAAAACGAGTATAAACTTGGAGAATATTCCACGTAATCTAGAAGATTCCACTAAATTTGACACCACAAGGATGGACGTGTAAGAAGATTTATAGTCGAATGATGATTGTAATTAACAAAAAATGAGGATTTTTTTTTTAATTTTACTTTACTTAAAAAAGGTGGTTCTAATTTACCCTTAAAATTATTCATTGCAAAGTTAAAAATAACCGCCGACTAATCAATATCAATAAATTCAATTTAAATAAATAGAAATGATTCAAAGAAAATTAAAATAAATTGTACTCGACTTCAATAGTCAAATATCCAACAAAGTTATACATTATGAATCTTTCTTTTTGGAAAGGGAAAAAAGGAAAAATAAAAACATCAACTCTTTATTTTGGATAAGATGCATTGTGGTTTGGATTTTACATAAAAGAGAATAAAGTGATACAATGAAATGAAATTACAATAAACAAAAAAGAATTCAAAAACAAAATTCACAATAATTGAAAGTTAAAAACATTGATATCATTAAAAAGGAAAGGATTGATTTGTAGTTATTCATTCTTATCACCAGCTTGCGTGTAACTTTTTTCCATGATCGTGTAAAGTATAGAATAAATGCCTAATTCATTTTTACTTTATACCCTTTTCCTATTTTATTCATATTTTTGCAATTTTTTGTTTCTAGCTGAATTTCACAGTTTATCGAACAAAAATATATACTAACGTTCGATTCTTGTATTGACAAACGAGCTATTAACAAACGAACTTCGTTCGGTATCAAATACTCCATCCGTTCCATATTATAAGTCGTTTTGAGTAGCAACACACGTATTAAGAAATTCAATAAACATGAATAAATTATACCACAAAATATAAAAAATACTAAAATGCAACTCATACTTATTGAAATTCTAAAGTGGTAAATAATTCGAGCAAAAAAAACACTCCAAAGAGATATATATTATGAAACAGAAAGAGTAATTGATTTAATTTCCAGTCATACTTGTTATTAATTACTTCATGTTCTCTATTATCCGTCACTTTAAATTTCTAACACAATATTAGATGATTTTTTTTGGTTTACATTATTAATTCAATTATAAGTATTAACTCTGATTTTATTAAATTATTAAATGTTCAATGTTATTTTTCGTCTTCTTAATGCCTTTTTATATTTTTTTCTAAAATCAACACATTTACTAAGATTTTTAATACTAGTAAAAAAAAAAAAAAAAAACTATAATCAAATAGCTATAATATTAAATTGGGAATAAAAGAAATAATTAAAAAATGACACCTCAGCAAACAAAAAAGCATACCGAAAAAACCAAAGGTCCACACCTTAGTTACAGTGGACATCCTCGCATGCTAAAATTCCCCCCTTTTATCCTTGTCCGAATTTTGTTTGCTATAAGTATACTCCCACACTCCCCTTCTACAACCTCCTCATTTTCCCGGCCCTCTGTTTTCCTTGCTAATCTGCTCCCAGTTTTTTTTCTTCCCATTTTATCCTTTTCTTCCTGTTTATATATTTGTGTTTATTACTCCGGTGGGGGGAGTAGTTAGGTTTCCGGTGAGAATGGCGTTGCTGTCAGAACAGGGGACGGAGATCGTGATTCCGGTGTGCGCGGTCATCGGCATCATCTTCTCGCTTGTGCAGTGGTACATCGTGTCCAAAGTCAAGGTCTCGCCGGAGAGAAGCGGCGCCGCCGCATCGCCGGCTGCAAACAACGGGAAGAACGGCGGCTACAACGACTACCTGATTGAGGAGGAGGACGGAATCGACGACCAAAACGTCGTCGCTAAGTGCGCCGAGATCCAGAATGCTATCTCCGAGGGTTAGAATTTCTTTCCAGATCTGATTATTTTTTTCATACTTACCTGATGTGTATGCATATTCGCGCGCGTGCGTTCGTACGCGCGCGAACGCGCGTTTGATTGTTTGTTTGTGTGTGTATTAGTGAAGTGAAGTGAAGCAGGAGTGTAAAAAAAGATGCAATTTTTATGTTTGATCTTATCCAGTATTGAAAATTTGAGCTGGAGTAATAACTTTAGCACTAAACATTTAATTAAATTAATATTATTTTTTCCAGTACGAATGGAATCTTTTTCTTGTTGTAAGAAAGCTTATTCTGCCAAGTGTTGGAAGTTAGATTAAAACGTGTAATTTTTCAGGAGAGTTGATATCTAAATTCTTTCTGAATTCCTACATGCACGGAACTGAAAAAGATATATTTTTAATATTATTATTTAATATTCTGAAATATTTTTATAATTTGGTAAAATAAAGATTGTTGGATTTTCTTGGCGGCGAGTAGGGAAGGGGTTTAGGGTTTTATGTTGGCACCGACAAATGCTGACAGATCTGATTTTGTTACATTATTTAATTCAATTTTATTAATGCTGTCTAGATCTGGGGCAGAGTATTTTTTTAGTAAGGGTTCATAGTTTATCAAGGACTTGCTTTTTACTATTTGAAAATTGCTATTTATGGTTTATAACAAAAAAACATTTTATGTCTCTAAAACCCTAAAACTTCCCAAAACCCCCCAAAACGCGTAAAAACCCAACTTGGGCGCCTATTCATGCAGTGCACGCTCAAGTTGGGCGTGCAAGCTGCATTTGGGCGCCCGAGTTGGGCTTTTTTTTTTTAATTGGACGCCCAAGATGGGCGTTCCAACATGTTTTTGCGAAAAAAAGCCCTACAAATCGATTTGTAGGGCTTTTTAACATGAAATTGATTCCGTAATCGACCTACCCAATGCATATTACACACAAAATAGTCGAAATTAAAAATCGAAGCCCAACCCTTCTTCAAGCTTGATTTCGAATTTTTTTCTTTTTTTTTTCTTTTTTGCTATTTGCAGTTTGGGGGGTTTTTGGATTTTTTTGGGAAGTTTTAGGGTTTTAGAGAGATAAAGTGTTTTTTGTTATAAACCGTAAATAGCAATTTTCAAACCGTAAAAAGCATTTCATTTTATCAATTGATACTGCTTTCTGATATCAATTTTATTTAGGAACTGTTACTGGCCCGGCCCGGTCTGATGTTTTTATTGTTTGATGCTCATAATTTTGATTTTGAGTTTTAAAAGTTGTATTTGAACTTGATTTAATTGTAATTTTGAACCGAGAGTGAATGAACTTTAAAGGGTCGAATCAAGAATTAATCTCAAGTAACTCGATTTTTTCAACATATATTCTTTTTCTCTATGGAAGTAAAAATCTCTGTTTTCATAACGAACCGAATATGTCTTAACTAGGGGTGTAAATCGAACAATCGGATCGGAATTTGGAACGAAATTGGAAATTGTAATGAAAAAAACTAAATTCTAAAATTGAACTTTTTTGGATTGGAATCGGTGGAATTCGGAAATTCCAAATTTTTGTCACCTATAATACAAAACAATATACTGGTTTTATGACGGTAATTTTCGGAAAAGATCGGAATTTTCGGAAAGTAAAACTGGATCGAAAATTGGAATCTAATATGTATTCCAGTTCGGTTCCGAAAAAAAAAAAATCAGAATTCAGAATTTCAGTTCCAATTTTCACTCCTAGTCTTAACGAACCGAATACTGCCTTAGCTTCTTAGCTGACACAAAAAAAGCCCGTTTCTCGATTTTTCAGGTGCAACATCATTCCTCTACACCGAGTACCAATACGTGGGAATCTTCATGATAGCTTTCGCGATCCTCATCTTCCTCTTCCTCGGTTCAGTCGAGGGTTTCAGCACAAAGAACCAGCCATGCACGTATAACAAAGAAACCCTCTGCAAACCAGCCCTCGCCACCGCCGTTTTCAGCACCGCCTCCTTTTTGCTTGGTGCAGTCACCTCGGTCATATCCGGTTTCCTAGGCATGAAAATCGCCACCTATGCGAATGCACGAACAACCCTTGAAGCCAGAAAAGGTGTCGGAAAGGCCTTCATCGTTGCATTCCGATCCGGCGCTGTAATGGGCTTTCTCCTAGCGGCAAACGGGCTTTTGGTTCTATACATCACCATAAATTTATTCAAGATTTACTACGGTGACGACTGGGAAGGGCTTTTCGAAGCTATTACCGGATACGGTCTCGGTGGGTCCTCCATGGCTTTGTTCGGAAGAGTCGGTGGTGGGATTTACACCAAGGCCGCTGATGTTGGCGCTGACCTCGTCGGTAAGGTCGAGCGGAACATTCCGGAAGATGACCCCAGAAACCCTGCCGTAAGCTACCGTTTTCTTGAATTTATTTTTTATTTATTTATTTATACTTTTATAAAAGTTCGCCTTATAATATAGCCTTATAATTTTGCAGGTGATTGCGGATAATGTTGGAGACAACGTGGGAGATATTGCTGGAATGGGGTCCGATCTTTTCGGTTCGTACGCTGAGTCATCGTGCGCGGCTCTTGTTGTGGCCTCGATTTCGTCTTTTGGGTTGACTCACGATTTCACCGCAATGTGCTACCCTTTGCTTATCAGCTCAATGGGAATCTTGGTTTGTTTGATAACCACTCTTTTCGCTACCGACTTTTTCGAGATCAAGGCTGTAAAAGAAATCGAACCGGCATTGAAGAAGCAGCTAATCATCTCCACTGTTCTTATGACTGTCGGAGTTGCAATCGTCACGTGGACTTGCCTGCCTTCTTCCTTCACAATCTTCAATTTCGGCGCTCAAAAAGTCGTCAAGAATTGGTACGTACAACTCATATATACGCCATCGCTCAAAAATCGAAATTGTTTTCTTAATATAATATTGTCGTTACAGGGAACTATTCCTCTGCGTTTGCGTCGGTCTTTGGGCTGGACTCATTATCGGGTTCGTCACTGAATATTACACAAGCAATGCTTACAGGTACGAATAATTCTCTTATTTACTTACCCCATCGAAGTTTTTGTCATTCAAAAAATAAAATAAAAAATAAAAATCGGATCTTTTTTTTTTATGCAGTCCTGTGCAGGATGTTGCTGATTCATGCAGAACCGGTGCTGCGACCAATGTTATATTCGGTCTCGCGTTGGGTTACAAATCAGTCATAATTCCGATTTTCGCCATCGCGGTTAGCATATTCGTCAGTTTCACATTCGCCGCCATGTACGGTATTGCTGTAGCTGCTCTGGGTATGCTGAGCACAATCGCTACCGGCTTAGCTATCGATGCTTATGGTCCGATCAGCGATAACGCTGGCGGCATAGCTGAGATGGCCGGTATGAGCCACCGCATTCGCGAGAGAACCGACGCTCTTGATGCTGCCGGAAACACCACTGCCGCCATCGGAAAGGTGTTTTATTCATCGATCGTGCAGCTACTTCAACACACACACACACACACACACACACACACACACACACACACACACACACACACACACACACACACACATATTACCATATAATTAATGCTGATTCCGTTTTTGATTTTTAGGGTTTTGCAATTGGATCAGCTGCACTCGTTTCATTGGCACTCTTCGGAGCGTTTGTTAGCAGAGCGGAAATCAAGACAGTTGATGTGTTGACTCCGAAAGTCTTCATCGGATTAATCGTCGGAGCGATGCTGCCGTACTGGTTCTCAGCCATGACGATGAAGAGCGTGGGCAGTGCCGCCCTGAAGATGGTGGAGGAAGTGAGGAGGCAGTTCAACACGATTCCCGGTATTATGGAAGGTACCGCCAAACCGGATTACGCCAGGTGTGTGAAGATATCGACTGATGCTTCGATTAAGGAGATGATTCCACCTGGCTGCCTAGTCATGCTTACGCCTTTGATTGTCGGAACCTTCTTTGGGGTCGAGACACTCGCTGGGGTTCTCGCCGGTGCCCTCGTTTCTGGCGTGCAGGTATATTTTAATTTCATTTAATCTAATCATGACTTATCTTCTGAAACCAAACGAGGCTTTAGGATATATTTAGGGGTGGAAATCGGACAGATTGGATCGAAATTTTGGCACTTTCGGAAAATTCAAATTTTTTCGGAAGTTAAAAACTAATTCCGATTTTCCCGGAAGCAAAAAACTAATTCGAATCCCGTTAAATTTTTTTTGGAATTTCGGTAATTGGAATGTGAAACTTGTTCCAAAATCAGAAATTGTCAATCGGAATTGGCAAAATTCAGAACTTCCAATTTTCAGGTCACCTATAGGCTATAAAATACATAATAAAATTGATATATTAAGTGTAATTTTTGGACATTAATTGGAGTTTTCGGAAAGAAAATCGGAATCTAATATGTACTCCAATTTTCACTAAAAATTCATTTGAAAAAATCGGAACATTCGGAATTTGGAATAAAAAAATTAGTTCCAAAATCGGAAATTGTCAGATTAGAAACGTTGGAATTCGGAAATTCCGTTCCAATTTCCACAGAATATATTAGTATTTGAATTCGATTTGATGGACTTTGTACTTGATGCGCTTACAGGTTGCGATATCTGCATCGAACACTGGTGGTGCATGGGACAATGCCAAGAAATACATCGAGGTAAACATCTCGCATAAAAACCAATTATTATTTATTATTATTATTTATTTATTGAAGTTTTTAAAATTTATTATATATGTTATATAGGCCGGTGCATCGGAGCATGCAAGAACACTCGGGCCAAAGGGATCGGAACCGCACAAGGCTGCTGTTATAGGTGACACAATAGGGGACCCACTAAAGGACACTTCAGGCCCTTCGCTAAACATCCTCATCAAGCTAATGGCAGTCGAGTCGCTCGTTTTTGCTCCTTTCTTCGCCACTCACGGTGGCCTTCTCTTTAAACTCTTCTGATCAATCATCAAACATGCTCTTCGTCTCTCGTTTTCTCTCCTACTTTTCCCAATGTAAGAAGCATCTTTCGCTCTGTTTTTTCGTGTCCAATTTTCTCAAGTACGGGAATTTTCTCTGTTTTTTTTTTTTTTAAGTTAGGTCGTAGCTAGCGAGATTTTAAATTTTGTTGAATTGATGATGATGATGATAATTCTGTTGGTTAAATTGAATGATGATAAAAAAATCTGCATCCATCACAAGTATTAGTTTTTTGTCCTAAAAAGTCCCATTTTTCTTACTTTTCTTTGTAATGGTTTTGTTACAAGAACACTTTTTTAATTGGCAATTACATTAGCCAATGCTGAAGCAAAAACACCTGCATGAAATTAAAAGGGTAAATAGCACTTAACCCCCTGTGGTTTGAGGTTTGTGCACATGACTCCCTTGTACTTTTAATATAAGCACATGACTACTTTCAATATAAGCACATGACTCCCTGTAGTTTGAATTTTGTGCACATGACCTCCTTGTACTTTTAATATAAGCACATAACCCCCTATGGTATTCCACTTGATAAATAATCTTGCTCATTAGGAAAAGGAAAGTTTTGAAAGTACAAGGGAGTTATTTGATTATATTAAAATACAAGGGGGTCATGTGCTATATTGAAAATAAGAGGGGCTCATGTGCACAAAGTTTAAACCACGAGGGGCTTAAGTGCTATTTACCCAAATTAAAATACATATGACAGAGAACAAAGAAAACAATAGACAGCATATTCTAAGTTATTACAACTTAGAATAAGCAACACACTTTTTATTTTAAGGATAGGATAACATGTCAGATACTAAACTTGCAGTTGAACAGTGTGGAGTGATCTCATTCCCCTCTGATAATATCCATAGTGAATATCGGCATAATCTTTCACCATCTTAAAAAGTCTCGGCTTCTCCGAATCGATTAACCCTTCTTCCGGCCCGATCTCTTTTCCCACTTCCGGCGTGTAAAACACCGCCACGGAAATCCTATCCCTTCTCGAGTCGCTGACGACCCTGTGCACCGGACTTGTGAAAATCCCGTTGCTCATAATCTACACATTTTTTTCCAAATTAAAGAAAATAGGTATCAAGAATCGGACGAGCAAACACCCGAGGCTTATTTTAGCTGCCACGATAAGATCAGCCAAGATAAGGTTTATGCAATCTTATTAGGCCTTGTTTGGTTCTCGAGATAGATTAAACAATCTTATGAAAACTTGATTATATTGTTGAATCATGGGAAGTGCAAAAAATAATCTCTCAATTAGCCAAGATTAGAGCCGTTTCTTTTGTTCAAAGTTGCGGGCGGGCCTGAAAAGTTACTGTACGGACCCAAACATTCAGTAAGATCCGATTATTTATTAATCATGGCTTATCTACTAACCAACCAAGGCTTTGGAACTCAATTATTTAACGATTCTAGAATATGCCAAAGATAAGAGCAAATTTGTTTGAAGTAGAAACTTACCTCCATCTGATCACCCATGATTACAAGAAGGGCATTAGCGTCATTAGGAACCGTATACCATTTGCCTTGCTTGAGTATCTGTAGGCCCGTTTCATCTTGGAGCAAAACGGTGTAACCCGATCCATCGGAATGAGCTTTCATGCCGAGGACTAAATCGGGCCTCTTGCATGGGGAGTAGTAGTTGAATCTACCGTGGAGCTGCGATCTTTCGCCAAACTGTTTTAAAAAACAGCCTTCTTCGAGATTAACCGATTTCGCCATCGATTTCGACACTATTTCTGTAAACCTCTTCATATTCTCCGTGTACTCTTCTAGAACTTCTCTGCAACAACAAACAAGTTTACGAAGAAAAACGAACATTGATTAAAATCAAGAGTTGAATATAATATATATGGATGGTGCATTCTTGAATTTTTTTTCATACTTGAAAGAGATGGGATTTTGAGGCCAAAATGTGTAGTTTCGTTGATCTTTGGGGGCTAAAGCGAGGAAGATACGGTCCGACCAATCGAGCGATTGGCCGTCTTCTGGAACCGGATCGGCTCCATAGCCTTGGAATTCCGCCACTTTTTTTGCACACTTGTTCTTCTCTTCCATCGATTGTCCGAAGAATTCTCTTCCAACTTCTCGTACTTTGTCTAGGAAAGAACTTGGTATTCCATGATCTATTGCCTAAAACAAGCAAAAAATCAGTTATGTTGGAAAAATCCAACATATGTATATTAAATGTGTACGGCTATCTAAAAGAATAGTCCAAATTAATCCTGATCTAATAAAGAACCTGAAAACAACCCCATGTGGAGAGAGCTAACTTGAGTTTCTTCAATTCTTGATCATTTTCTTTAGCACACAATTTTCCGATATCGATAAATGGAATCGGGGAATTGTTCTCGGTCGATTCTTCTTCTTCACCGTAGTCGCGGTCTTTTTCGCAAATGTACGGTCCCAATGGATCACCATTGCCGGATAGGACCATTTCTTGAACTCTTTTTGACAGCAAAACCTCAACAGGTGTAATAATGGAAACTCCAGCCATGTTTGTAATTTGTGTGTGTGTGTGTGTGTGTGTGTGAGAGAGAGAGAGAGAAGAGAAGAGAGAGAGAGAGAGAGAGAGAATCAAGATTGTAACAGCTATAAGATTGGGGTAGGAAGAGACAATCAGCACCAAGATATTCTATTTTGTATTAGAATATATTGCAATGGGGTCCAATTTTTTTATTTTATTTTTAATTCTGAGAAAATAGATATTTTCTTGAAGAATATAAATCATATCGGAGTTGTACATAAACTCTAAGGCGAACTTAAATTCAAGGCGGGAGTGATCGGAACTCAGGCGCGTCGCTTAATCGTATAGTTGAACCGTTGTAATGAATAAAAGTCGAATATCTTTTTCATTATCGTAGAACTTAACAACAATGGTGAGATGTTGCTTGATGATCAAATAATTGAGAGTATCATTTCATGTATCTCATGAAATTGAACATGATACTATGCACTTAAAAGTTATTAATTAACTTAATATATATTTTTAGGGTAAATTACAAAAAAAAAAAAAAACATATCCATAATTATTAAAGGGTTTATTAGGGATAACCCCCTTGTTCATATTTTCTAATGAGGTAGATCCAATTAATTTTTTCCTTTTTGAGATACACCCAAATTTGCCAACTTGGCAAAATATATTATGTAATTTCCCTTTAATACCCCTTTTTTATTTTGTTTTATTTTTGAACGGTATTTACTTCCTTAACTACGTGATATGAGATTGCTGATACGTTGCCTAAAATCACGGAATAAAATTACGTGAGTATATTGGCGGTTTCTATCAAATCTTGTACAACCGGTTTTGAAGAATTTATCCAGCGTTTCATCGTTTTCCATCGGATTTGAAGATAGGTTCGGATTTCATCGTTTTCATCGTTTTTCATCATTTTCCATCGTTTTCATCGTTTTCAATCGGGTTCGGATTTGAACCGGTTTTGAAGAATTTATCCAGCGTTTCATCGTTTTTCATCGTTTTCCATCGTTTTTTCACCGGCGTGGAAATAGGTTCGGATTTGAGCGTTCATCGTTGTCCGTTAGAAGAGGATGATGTTTGTTTGGAAGAGGATTGACAGAGTTAGAAGAGGATGGTTCACGCAGATCGGACCAGAGTTGTTTTATATGAGCTTCGTAGTTGGTTTATGCAATAATCGGAATAATTGTCCGCTGTGGTCGAGTTCATGTTTTTTATCCCGATCGATAGTTGGTTTATTTGTTTATAACAGCCGATTTAAGTGTGCTGGGTAGTACATTAAAATATAGTTCGTAGTCTTTTTTAATTTAGCGTATGGATTTTGCATTTTAAGTTTATTTTTGATGATATTAATGTATTGTCATTCAAATGTATTTGCAGTCTATTGAATCACTTTTTTGTATTCTGCATTTTTAATTTTGTTTCATGATTTTAGGTTTTTTCGATGGCGAATTTCGTACGGATTTTGTTGAGGTTTGGTGGGTTGGTTGCTATAAAGAGGTGTTTACGATGTAATGGCTCGGTAACTTCGGTTAAGTGTTAAACCGTTGTAATACAGTAGTATACTATTATGAATACCGCATGATACTACCATTATCATTTGATTATACTATTATGAGATTATTAATGTACTAGAGTTTTTTAACTCGACATATTGGTTTGATTGTGTTATGATGTGTTTTATGTATTTTATCAAAACCCTAGATTGAAATTATGAGATTATTAATGTACTATTTTATTGGTTATGTTGGAATACTTTACGTTGGTGTTGTTCTCAATGTTCTTGTCATTTCAGTGGTATATTGTTTGTAACACAATTTCATATCACTACTATAACCGTAATATACTATCATAGCAGATTAATGTACTATATTGAAATTATTAATATACTATGTGGTTGAATAATACGGGATCCATAGTCGATTAACGAGATCCATAGTCGAATTAGATCAATAAGATAGTCTATTACACGATATAAGGAAAATTACCCTAATTGATTAGTATTTCAAACAAACATATTATTCAGTTTCCATATATATTATTATTTTTTCATATATATTATTATTTACCCTAATCGTTTTCATATAATAAGGAAGATTACCCTAATTGATTAGTATTTCAAACAAACATATTATTCAGTTTCCATATATATTATTATTTTTCCAATAGTCAATTAACTAAACCCATAGTCGAATTAGATACATGGGATAGTCTATTAAAAGATATGAGATAGTCTATTAATTTTAAAACACAAATCCGTCGCCGTCACTTCTCAAATCTAGGGTTTTGATGATTCTTCGGCCCATAGTCGATTAACGAGATCCATAGTAAAATTATACCAGTGGGATAGTCTATTAAATGATATGGGATAGTATATTAATACAGATGTAATTCGACTATGCATCTCATTAATCAACTATGGGCCGATGAATTATCAAAACCCTAGATTTGAGTAATCCTAGATTTGAGTAACCCTAGATTGGAGCAGTGACGGTGACGACGGCCAACGACGATATCACTTCTGGTGGATGTCCTGCTCATCAATTGTTGCAATATCACTGATTTAGTGCTCGAATTCGGTATGCGATTATAACAGATCTGCAATTACACAAACGTGATAGTCGATTTAGCCAAAACATATCAACAAATCGATGGATGATAACGATTCAGCGAGTGGCGACGACGTACCTACGGAGGCTTGGTCGGAGTGCAGAAAAATCGCCGATCCACGGCCGTGCAAATTTCTGGTTTTGGGAGGTTTTGCAGTTTTTTTGATAGTGGGTTTGTGGTGATAGTGTTTTAACGGGAAAATAGGGAGAGATTTGATATTATTTCAAAAGGTAAAGTAACGGGATTTGTGGGATTTGATTGAGGGTAATTATGTAATATAGAAAAATTTGGGTTTTTATCAAAATGACAAATTTAAGTTTGGGTCTACCCCTATTATTTGAATGTTTAAGGGGGTTATATCTAATTGACCCATTATTAAAATCCCCTTGATGTTTGTTTTCGTCTTATATCGACCATCTTACGGTATGATTTTTCATGGAATCTTTTTTATTTCAGAGAATATTTTCCAAAAAATGCCAATTATACCCCTACAAACGTAGAACATATTGAAGGTAGCCATGCACAAATGTTAAAAAAAAATTGCCTATGTATATAATACCCGTACTATCAATCCAAGAAGTGTAGTGATGTTGCAATGAGATGTTTTGATGAAAATGAAGTTGTTGTAGAAGGTATACCGTAGAATTAGTATTTTCGGGAAATATTCCATGGAATCAAAAATATTTCATGAAAATCACACTATAAGGGAGTCGATGTAAGATGGAAACAAATGTCGGGATGTTGATAATTACGAATATGTGAGGGGTGTTTTTCATAACTTAACCTAAATTCAAGTGATTTTTCGTAATTTACCCGGTGTATAAATGTGGTTACGTAATCATTTGTAAACTGAATTATCTTATAAACTTGCAGAATTAAATCTATCACATTGCTCTTGAGTCGGACCAATCAAAAATATTATTTAAACGAGATTTTTAACTAACCTAGTTTTAAATTTACAATAGGTTCGGTTTAGATAAAAACTGCCTTAATATTTGTTTTTATCTAAATTTATTTTATAAAATATTGGGTGAATTACAACTACCCGCGAGAGGTATCGTCAATTTATGAAAAAACTCCTCTTGTTTGGATAATTACACCTACCCCTCAACTATAATTTTTTCTTACACCTCCACCCTTATGATGTCAAATTCAACATAATCATCTAGATTTCGTGGAATGTGCTATAGTTTGTACTCGATTTGTGTAAAAACATAGTTTCTGATGCACCACAATCTGATATATACAAGCTAAAAAGCACATATTATGACCATCTTACTTCAAAATGTGAAGTTTGAATGAGATAAAACAGGTACAAAAGTGATAATATTTCATATAATCTTGAAGATTCCACTAAATTTGAAACCGCAAGGATAGACGTGTAAGAATTTACCCTAAAATATTTAAATTACTCCACAAAATAAATTGAGGATTAAAATTTGTTAACAAACACTGCCCCAAATTTTGATTGCACACACTTTTCTAATCTTTGTATGATCCAAACAAGCCCTTAACGATAAACATAAGATTCCTCGCCTCGCCACCCCCAATTTAAACAAGAACGAACAAATTTGCTCATCTCCGCTGCGATTATGACTAAGCAATCTCAATTATAAATTCTCACACTCCTTGCCCCCTTTTTATCGCATGATCGAGTCTTATTCCTGTATCAGTATATCTTCTTCATTCAGAATTGGAAAATTAGGTCATTTTTTCCCTCTTTTTTTTCTGAGCCCCAATTTCGAATTTTCCCTTTCCGCACAGCAAAAAAATATGATTTTTTAGCGCTAAATATTCGATTTTGATAAGTGGGTTCTTGCAGATTGATACTCAACAATGGGTAGTGCTTCATCAATGTTGACTCAGTATGATATTGAGTTAGTTCAAGAGCACTGTAATTATCTATGTAAGTTTTTTTTTTTTGTGGGACCCACTTTTTTTTTTTTTTTTTTTTTTTTTTCTCGTGGTCTTTTTTTATTTTAAAGAATCAATTTATTTTTGGGTATTTGATGATGAATTGATGCAGTTGGTCAGCAGGAAATAGTGTGCCTGTACAAGAGATTTTGCCAATTAGATAGAAATGCAAAGGGTTTCATATCTGCAGATGAGTTCTTATCTGTACCAGAGTTTGCAATGAATCCAATTTCTCAGGTTGATTATTTATTTTTTAGAGATAATTCGGTTGCCATTTTCGTCGATTCGAATTACCATATCCGATCATTTTTTTTTTCTGCTGATATGGTATTTGCAGAGATTGATTAAGATGGTAGACGGGTTGAATTTCAAGGACTTCGTCGCGTTTTTGTCCGCGTTCAGTGCTAAAGCAACTTTACCGCAGAAAATCGAGAGTATACATTCTTTAAATCCTCACACTTCGGCTAAATTTTATATTTTGTTAGTTGATTTCTAATCAGTGTTGATTTTCCTAACAATCGACAATTTATATTCAATGTTCGAAAAAATTTCACTTCGTGTCAGTGAAAACGGAGCTTTCTCAATTAAAATGATTTTAGCCTAATGGTCGAATATCCCGATAATGTTTAATTGGAGAATATGTCTAGTAGCTTCTTCCACTTGCTCGTTTTCAACAAATGTAAGTTTATCATCAATTTGGATGATGCAAATTTTGAAAATATCAGACTGAATTTCGTCGAATTTGCTGAGATCTTATTGCGCTT